TTTCGCCTGTCTTTATAGGGGAAAAATTAAAAACGACCATTGTTTAAAAAAAAATACAAAAACACCACCCATTCCCAAGAATTTCCAAATCTACCACTGTTTATTAAAAACCGCTCCACTCAGGGGCGGTAAAATAGAAACCGCCCATCCAGGCGGCGGTTTACCATGGAACCACCTGGTCGACAAGCGGTTTGTCTATTGTAGAAAAAACACTCTTCGAATGAGCGGTTTTCAAGGCTACCCTAGCACAAACCGCTTCCTCAGGGAGCGGTTAAATGTCGGCATGGTAAAACGCTCCATAGGGAAGCGGTTTACCATGTCGACACATAAAACGCACCCCCATCAGCGGTTTGTGCCTCGTCACTCGACATCCACATGTCGGCATGTAGGAGGTTGCAGGGGTGGGGGCTGCATGCCAGACTAAAACCACTCCCCCTGCGGTTTGAAGTGTAAAATTTGCCTATAAAAGGCAGGTCCAGAAAGCTCAAAATCTTCACTCCACTTCTTCTTCTTCTTCAAATTTCAGTTGTGCACCTTTAAATTATTTAGTTTTTGCGATTAACGTTAATTCGTAAGTTTTTTTTGTATTACTTTTCATTGTCATTTGTGATTTTTATGTTAGTAACTTAATTAGAGTTTTATTGCAGATGACATTCCAAAGGTTCACCCTTGGGTTGCGGTGGAATGGTTAAAAGGAAGAGACCGAAAAGGGTATAAGTTATGTGGGTGGCAATTTTTATAAAATGAAAGTCCGTACGAGACCGATGCTTGAAGAGCTCCATCAAATGTGCACTGAGGTTACCTGCATGGATGTCACTAGAAGAGTTGATCGCATTGATTTAAATTATTGAAAATATTCAATACGATTAACAATTAAGTAATTTACTGTACAAACAAATAAATTACGTTAACAAAATAAAAATTACAAGTGATGATAAATAATATGTACCTTGTGGTCGTTCCAAACGTCTCTTGAACTATGATTGTATGGATCGTATAAAATAGTCGGATCAATCGGTCCTTGAACAACATAATATCGTTGATTGTATATCTCAACATCCGGCCCAACCTACTATAGCATAACAAAAACATAAATCAATTAGTATATAAATTAAATAAACCATTATAACAACAACAAAAATTGGGTAAAATGATTACGTACCGGTTGATAATCATCATAGTAAATACCCTCTTCTTGGATAAAATCGGCCATTTTTTCAGGATCCGGACAGAGATTCGACGGTTTTTAGTGAAAACCAAAGAAAAGTTTTTGGAAGACAGATCAGACTTAGCCGCAACCAATAAAACAACTACTTCCAAGGTTTTTGGGTGGGGAGGGGGATGGATAGAGTGAGAAACTTAGAGAGAGAGAGAGAGGAGATTGGGGTTTTGGTGTGCAGAAAATGAGAGGAAGGGGTGGGTTTACATAGGGAAGGAACCGCGTGCTGGAGGGGCGGTTTGGTCTTTTTACCCCATCAAAAATCGCACCTCCAGCACACGGTTTACGCTTCCCAACGCGCAAACCGTGCTTTAGGGCAACGGTTTCCCGTGGGTGACGCGGATCGCTTCGCTGGCAGGCGGTTAGGCCATCAGATAGCCTTCCCATCGTGCGGTTGCATGAACCGCCACGTGGAGACGCGTTTTGTTAGCTACCCAATGGCAAACCGCCCCTTGCCCGCGCGGTTTAAATGAGAACCGTACCTTCGAGGTGCGGTTTATAGTGGATGGTGGTAGATTTGGAAATTCTTGGAAATAGGTGGTATTTTTGTAATTTTTTTTTAAAACAACGGTAGTTTTGGAGTATTTCCTCTTTTATAGCGGGCTTGTCAAAATATGAATGGGATTCGACTTTCGAGTACTAAGACATTTTCAAGTGGTAGGCAGTTGGCCCAGCCCAACAAACTAGATCAACCATCGCGCGGTTGAAGGGTGCGATTGTGAAGGCAGCTATTGCCAAGTGGAATCGGGGGAGAAACAAAATCTTTATTCGCCGGCAGTTCTCGCCGTCCACTTCCTGTAACGATTAGGAGTGAATGGTAAAATGTATAAGTTTGGGGACTGCTTTGTAATTGAGCAAGTCATATAAATAGGTAAGCTGTGTACTGAACTGGTTATCGAATAAGAATTTACCAGAACTGTTTCCCTACTTCTTCCCTTCCTCTGCTTCTGATCTTCCTCTTCTGCTTCTCTTCTCCTACTCTATTCTTTCTTAATCATTCCCCTTTCTCTTCTAATCCTGCAATTCCTCTCTCCGTTCAAGCAATCCTACACATCAATCGCCGGAATCGATCCTTCATCCGACCTGAGTGTTACAACGTGGTATCAGAGCCATTCTCCGGCACCGTCGGCGACGACGCTCTCTTCTTCCATCGCGCCAATGCAAGCCAATTTCGAAAAGATGCCCAGCTCGCGCTTGGAAATCATGGCGATGCTACCCGAAGTGGAAATTTGGCTGGACTCTGCTGCGTTTCTGTCTCCCTCGCCCACGAGCATGGTGACGGGAAATCTTGCCTAGTCAACATTGGCTGGATTGAGGCGGCCATGGTCCTCTAGGTTGGTTGACGGCTTAGAAGGTCAGTTGGGGAATCGGGATGATGGCCGGGAATCAGCTGTACGTGGAGCAGGTCAGCCGTGTCATGAACCAGTTGCTCCCAATAACTCGAATTGTTGGGAGAGGTTCAATCGTGGATCATATACCACAACACTAACACGCCCCCTCAAACGAAAGCCACTCACAAGGGTCTGAAGTTTGCACAGGTTTGAAGACAAGAATACCATGTGCTTAACAAATGGGGTCACCGGGAACCGAACACAAGACCTCTCGGTCACAGAAGGCTTTGATACCATGTCAAGAACCAGTTGATCCCAATAACTCGAGTTGTTGGGAGAGGTTCAATCGTGGATCATATACCACAACACTAACAAGCCGGAGGGTTATTTCTCAGTCTGCCATGGAGAATTTCCAGCTGGTGGTGACGCATTGAAGATCCCAGAAAGCCTTCCTCCACCTGTTCGACAAAATGTCGCACCGAAATTCGTCTCAGGTATTCCTTTCTTCTCGGGTAATAATCCACGAGAATGGGTTAGTAAGTGTGAAAGGGTGTTCGAGAAGTATAGCCCTCCGAATGCACATCGAGTTTTACTGGCGGCAAGGTACTTTGAACACGGGCCAGAAACCTGGTTTGTGGGGTGGAGATATGGCCGTAAGGAGCTGGTTTGGGGTGAGTTTGTAGCCGCCCTATGTAAACTTTTTGCTGATGGATCATTTAGTGGAACACTGGCTGAATTCAACAAGTTGAGGCAAAGAGGTTCATTGTTGGAATACCAAGAAAAGTTTGAAGAACTACGATCTCGGCTGGTTAGATATACTTGTATCCTAGATGAAGAGTATTTCATTTCGAGGTTTATTAGCGGGCTAGAAGAAGTATTGAGGAGCGTGGTTCAAATGCTGCAGCCCCACACATTAGCTGAAGCTTATTAGCAAGCTCGGTCGGAGGAAGTTGCCATTGAGGCCAGCAGCAGGAAGAATCATTTGAGGAGTGTAGATGGAGATGTATTGACTTCTCCTGTTAGCACGAGAGAACAGGCTTTGAATACTCCTGATAAAGCAGCATCGGGTATGACAAGTGAAGATGTTTTTGGTGATTGTTTAGCTGTAACAAAAATGGGGAAAGACGATGAGTATGATGAGCATAAGGACACAACTCCGTACCTTGCAGTCTTGGACACAATGGGAATTGACATAACAACTGAATCGTCTCCCAGTAGCATGGAATCAGAATCGAACCTGAAAAGGTCAAACTTGGCAAAAAATGAACTCAAGGCTGAAGGTGAGGTACTGATGGCAAAAGCTCATATATTAGCTACAGATGTGGTTCAGAAACCAGAGTTCAAGTTACTGAATATAAATGGCAGTTTCACTATGCAGTCAATCTCTCATTTGGCTGCCAATGCTAAGGCTATTGCTGGGCAAACCATTGATTTCATTTTTTGTCCAAGTGATGTTGATTTTAGGACTCTGGATGTCGTGGTGAACTACTGCAACTCCATTAAGGGGTATGGTTTCGTGCCTGAATCAGTGGGTTGCAGGGAAAAACTAAAGCATGGCAGCTGGAATTATGAGTATCGGATTTATCCCACTTATTATAGTGTTTGGGTAATTTCTGGTGGCAGGGGTAGTAGTCCTGATATCAAAGAACCATATAAAGATGATGCTCCAGGGGCCATGGAGCTGTTTGATCCGGATTTTCAACATGGCTGGAAATTTAATTGCTATCATGAACCTATGTCGATTGTTGGTGCTGCATATGCATTGTGTGGAGTGCATTTTTGCTATGATATTGTTGGTGTTCAAGGTCATGGCAGGGGTCCAACTCCCAACTTTAAGGAGCCTTATAAAGAGTGCTGGTTGGTTGTAGTTCTAACTGTTGTCGGGGTGGAACTCTGTGGTACTGCACTTACGGGCACTTGGCGGTTCAAGGGCTGTAAGGGACTGGAGATGATTGTGGTGATGCTTAAGAGCTTGGTGGTGTGGTGTACTGCTGCACTTTTGTTAATTCTCCTGGGTTGCATAAGCTGCATTTGCTTGTGGTTTCCATTCTTGAGGAGTTCGACGGTAATGGTGCTTGTTGTAAGAGATGAATAACTACTATATTGGTAAAGCAGTGGTGTAGAGTCCATTCTGCTGGGTGCTCATTGTCACTTCTTTGAGCTATAAGATGGCGCAACTCCAGTCTACAGTCGATGTTTTCTTCTGCCACAGGTGGCAACCTGTCTTCTATAATAGTTTTTCAGCTCGGTTACTTGTTGTTCGCATTGCTTTGGTTTATGTTGTCTCCTTTTGTTCTCTAGCATTGAGGACAAGGCTGTTTTCAAGGGGTCGGGATTGTAACGATTAGGAGTGAATGGTAAAATGTATAAGTTTGGGGACTGCTTTGTAATTGAGCAAGTCATATAAATAGGTAAGCTGTGTACTGAACTGATTATCGAATAAAATTTACCATAACTGTTTCCCTACTTCTTCCCTTCCTCTTCTGCTTCTCTTCTCCTACTCTATTCTTTCTTAATCATTCCCCTTTCTCTTCTAATCCTGCAATTCCTCTCTCCGTTCAAGCAATCCTACACATCAATCGCCGGAATCGATCCTTCATCCGACCTGAGTGTTACACTTCCCCTTCGGCCGAGTTTCGACGGAGTCTTCTTTCTTCCCAACTTGGGTTTGGAATGATAGGGCTGACTTCATTAGTTTCTTTCCATTTCCAATTTCTAATAAATCGACGCTGGAGTTCGTAATGATGACTGAAGCCTGAAGGTACTATTCAGAGCGAAACCATGTCGGAATTGTTGAATCAATTCGAATGCATTCTCGATTCCGATCCCCTCATGTAAGCACCGTCGTCAAATTCGATTCAGGAAGTTTCCCCTTCGTTCAATTTATTCGCTCAACCTTATGTTCAATTTTGTTTTCCGGCTGCTTTGGTGCTCCTTCGTGCTCAGCAACGAAGTAGGGTTCATTCACCCTTCGCAATTTGCGACATTAGAGAAAGATCCTGAAGCTGGTAGCTCACGATCGGAAGCCTCGGATGCGCTGGATGGTGGAGATGGGAGCTTCTGGATTCGAGATCACAAACTGGGCATTTCCTCGGAGGTTGTTCTCCTATTGTACAAGGCTGCCAGAGAACAATTCATGAATGCAATTGCAGAATACAGGAAACTCGGCGACCTATCTCTTCCTTCTGCTGAAGCTCTAGGAATTGTGGTTATGAAATGCAGCAAAGCACTTGTGTTGTTAAGCCCTGATTTCGGGACTGCTTGGAATTCCAGGTAAGCAATTTGAAATTTTCTATATTTATACGGGTCTGGTTGATTTGAATCGTAATGATCCGGAAATGGTAGATTCGCACCTGTGTTTTAAACCCTCTAATTGCAGCTTGTTTATGCCCAATGTGCCCCTCTGTTCTTGTTTTTATTTTATTTTTATGAATGACTGTTCTTTTTCGTTGAATGAATGACTGTTCTTGATGCAAATTGCAGAAAGTTAATAGTATCGAAGAAGACACAAGCGTCAATGTTCACTGACGAGCTCCGCTTGTCTGCCCTTGTCCTTTCGTATTCACCCAAGAGCGAGCAAGCATGGAGCCATAGGTAATATCTATGAAGTACTAGTTGATTCTCTTCCTGTGTTGTTGTTTATCTGCTGAACTGCATGAGTTGTTAACTTGTTCTATGCATTTTTCCTTCGGTTATTGGCAGGAGGTGGGTGATCAAGAATATGGCCAGAAATCGTACAACTTTGCAAGAGATTTTGAGGGAAGAATCTGACCTGGTGGAGAAGATAGCAGAGGTTTATATTAATTTCAAGAACTGCATAGTAGTGATTCGTGAAGGTTTAACAACTTATAATACTAAAGAAGCATACTATTTCCGTGACAATTGCATTACAAAATTTTAAAAATTGGAAAAGAAAAGGGGAAAAAGAAAGCATCATCTCTAAAGTTTATTAATTTCATGTTTGATTGTTGGATCTTTCCAGACATGACTAGGTGTATGCATGTATTGCTAGACTTTCATTTTTCACTCCATACTAGTGGCTTTGAACACAGCTCTGGTTTACTAATTCTTGGGCGTGTGTGCTATTGACTGCTACTCTAAACTTTTTCTGCCTTGCTATCTATGCAGAGATCAAAGATGAACTATCGTGCATGGAATCATCGCTGCTGGTTGGTTTCTTACATGGATAGAGAACAGGTTCGTTTCTTAGATTGGGCATGTTTTGTTACCTATAACGTCATGACAACTTGGCCCTCATGTATGACTAGTATGGAAGAATTTCAGCCCACTGTCTTGAATTGGGCAGTTTTTTTTTTAACTTTCTCCTGGTTTTTATACATTCTCATTCTAAGAAACTTTTGTGGGTATTTTGGTTCATACCTGCTGATGCATTTCACAGTCATCTATGAGCTGCTTTATCTAGGTGTCCTGTCTGTCAGCTTAAGCAAAAATTGCTTCTCCAGGTGATTCAGGAACTGAAGAAATCCAAAACGTGGGCTGGGTTACATGTTGCTGATAATTCTTGCTTTCATTATCGCATGGTGAGTACAATCCTTGAACATTTAAAAGAGAGTTCATGAGAGAAAGCTATGTATAATTTTACGAGTATTCATTCCACGACATTCCTAGCATCTTGTCACAGTTTGAGTTATCACCTAATTGCAGCGGCTAATCATCAGAATTTTAGAGGATTGCTGCCGTAAGCAAGAAGAGGGGTCGTGTGATTCTTGTGTTGAAGTTTATTTGATCTGGCAGGTATAATGTCTGAACTTTCATATTCACCGCCATCATTTATTAATTCTTTTGTAATTAATCGAGATTGCACAATTTGTGAGTTAATAACTCTGATGCTGCTGTTTCTATCAGGAGGAGCTTGACTGGAATGAAGAATTAATAAAGCGTTATTTAGGAAGGGAGGTATTTTTCTCAAGCCCATTTAAAATATGTGAATATAGGGGATCTTGACAAACATGAAAATCGATTACTGCGTTCTGCAAATTAAAGTAGTTGTGGAATTGTTTCTGATCACTTTGTTTCCATTGTAACCTGAACTCAACACAGAGTTTCCTCCAAAGCTAACGCCCACCCCAAATCCCTTTTTGTTCATAGGCTCTATGGCTCTACCGTCGCTTTCTCTCCTTATTATGGATAAGGCATTTCACAAGCGATGTCAACGACGTGTCTTCCCCACAAAAAAGCCAATCTAGCATCCAAGTGAACGTCAGTGTGTTTTTGGATGAGGAGTTGCTCCTCGTCAATTCATGCTCGGAAGGATGTGATGATGAGTTTGAAGATTTTGAAGAACAAGCAATTTGTTCAGCATCTTACATGTTATGGTTGACAAAGGTAACAAAATGTCTAGTTATAGTAGTTAATTGTGTTGGTTTCGTCAGGTGAACTAATTGCCTTGTGGGAATCTCTTTTGTACAGCAAATCCCTGAAACCCAGAAGTTAGAACTGAGAGAGAAGATAGAGAATGAGCGTCTGGACGCCATGTTGAAGTTGGTGTCCCTGAGAGGTCCTCCATTTGGGGCTATCTAAGATTAGTAAGTATATTTGGCTGCCATGGACGCTGGAAGTGGATGGTATTAATGAGAGTTGTTATTTGCCATTTCCCGCCCACAGTTACGCAAAAAATGACCAGTATACCCCTAATAAATTTCTAAAACCTAAATTTCTAACCCTCCACTCCACTCTCCCTCCCGTATTCCTAGACCTGGCAAATTACAACCCGATCCGTTGACCCGAAATGGTTGCGTTTTCGATGACCCCGTGTGACCGTATGAAAATAGCCTGAGTGGATGCCTCCTGTAATATAGCTAGATTTGAAGTAACTACTCGTAGGCACATTCCTTGTGTAATCCAATCTCTAGCTCAAGGAAGCCATCATACTCTGATTGTGTGATCATATCTTGTTGGACGTATTCCTCATACAGTCATTTGCTCTACTGGCAGACTGCCAGACTCTGCAGATGTGCTTCTCTTATCTCTTTTGAACTGATATGAAGAAGTTTCTGCCGTAATTTAGGCTTTCATAGGTGTGCTTCAACAGATGAACTGCAGCTACTTTTCCATGCATTTAGATCAGTTACAAACAAAAGGAACTGGTAGTCCGGGTGTTGGACAAGATGGACATCAACAGCTTCTGATATTTCTGTTTCTTTGCTAGTCTTTTGAGTCTGGAGTGACTGAAAGGAATGTATTATGGCTATCACTTGTATAGCAACTTCCCCAAAAGTGAAAGTTTGAGTAACTTATCTGTTTATTGCAATAACTTGCACTTCGTTATATATAGAACATAAGAGTTACACAGCTTTAGAAAAAGGCTTGACAATGTATTTCATATTTGCTGAGTTAAAAAATATGGGGTAATTGCATGGTTGATCACTGAAATTACAAAAAACGTTTAAGTTTGGTCATTCGAAATATTTAAATCCATTAGTGGTACTTCAGTTTATTCAAACCGTTCACGTTTGGTCACTCTCCGTCCAACTCCGTTAACTTTGACTGATGTGGCAGTCAACTCTCAAAGTTGACCATTAAGTTAGTAACTGGCAACTAAAAAATTATTAAAAATAAAAAAAAATTCTATATTTTCCACCTCATTATTACATTCATTAAAAAATAAAAAAATAAAAAACCTAATACCCTACCCACCCAACCTCCACCGCCGCTTCGATCCTTTCCACATGGGAACCTGCTTCCTCTGTTTCTTCCTCCCCTGAAGCCAGAAACAGAGACGACGACGAGTAAGAAGGGGACAGGGACGACTTCCCCGCCGGGAACCATTTCCTTCCCGCCACCGCGGCGTATACGGGATCCCTCTCCGCCCTCTCAAGCGCTGATTTGACCTTGTCCAGAGTGCAGACACTTTGGTAGTTGGCTGCTACCGCGGCGGTCAGTTTCAGCTCCAGGCTGCTCTCGTCGAAGAGGTTGAGCGTGATTCTCGACGGCGACGGCGGGAAGTTCAAATCCTGGAGCTTGGGGAACGTTTGGCTGAACTTGTGCCTGTGGTGGTCGGAGGAGGACGACGGCGAAGCTGATGATGCGTTGCTTCTGTGCAAGTACAGCTTCCCTGTCTGCACCAGATGAAAAAAACAGAGTATCTCCACAAATTAATTCATAAATATCTTCGAATGATACCCACTTGATTTCCCCCAAAAAATCTTCCAACCCCGCCATTAATGACTCCTACCCGACTTATTCTTCTCAAAGAAACCAAAATCCAAAGATTATAATCTCAATTCTCAATTACCGTACCATTCAATGATACAATAATAATATCAATTAAATTGACAAAAAAAAAGTAGTTTATCTTTGGAGAAGGAGTTCTTGAGAAAACAGAGGCATGGGTATTCATTAGCCCAAAAAACAGAGCAATGAAAACAGAGCCTGAATTCTGACGTTACATTCGGAATTGGGACCGAATTCTGCTTGGTCTCGAAGGACGAGTGAAGCTGAAAATGGAAAAGGAAGGAAATTTCATCTTTGGGGTTTTAGTACCTTTAAAACGAGGCGCTTTTCCCAGCCAGCGGGGACTTGGACGTCGAGGTCCAATTCCTTAAACTCATTGCCGTCCGACCCACCGACGGCGGAGCTAGTACTGCCGCCGCCGCCGCCGAGCAAATCCCTTGTAATCAGAGAGGGTTCGCCGGCGCCGACAGCGCGGTGTCGGAGTTTTTTTCCTCCTGAGAGAGGAATTGCGTCGCCGTGGGGTCTGCCGTCGGGCGGCGGAGCAGGGCGAGGACAGAGGAGACTTCCGTGTTCAGCATACAGGAGATCCCCAGCTCAATCCTCTTCTTCTTGCTCTTCCTGTTCGCCATGTAAAAAGGATTGAAGCGGCGGTGGAGGTTGGGTGGGTAGGGTATTAGTTTTTTTTAGTTTTTTTTTATTTTTTAATGTATGTAATAATGGGGTGGAAAATATGAATTTTTATTTTTTATTTTTAATGATTTTTTAGTTGCCACGTCACTAACTAAGTTAACGGTCAACTTTGAGAGTTGACTGCCACATCAGTCAAAGTTAACGGAGTTGGACGGAGAGTGACCAAACATGAACGGTTTGAGTAATCTGAAGTACCACCAATGGATTTAAATATTTCGAGTGACCAAACTCGAACGTTTTTTGTAATTTCAGTGACCAACCATGCAATTAACCCCTAAAAAATATCTAAAAGACGGAATGCTAGGTAAATAAAATGTACAAGTGGTTAGTAGCCCATCTCAAACTGCTATACTCACTGATGATTTGCTAAACTTTGTCAATTTCTCAATTAAAACCTTCGATGCCTAGATGCATATAGAGAAAAAGGTGCTCTCTGAAAGGCTTAACTGAGGTTTATCCAACTGTCGTAATCTTATCCTTTAGCTCAGCAGTAGGCACATAAACCACCCTCTCTCGAAAAACAAGCGCCTTGGACCTCCTACGTTTGCTGATTGGTAGACTCCCCAGAAACTGCCTCATGTTCTCTAGGGTGTCTTTGGCTCTACAAAGTCTCTCCATCTCACTCTCGGCAAGTTGATGAGACGGGGACTCCGAATATTTTGAGTAGGAATGCTTCTTCCCTGTACTTGATTTTTCTTCTAGCAGAGTCTTCAAGCTCGGATCATCACCCTTTTGGGCTTCCATCTGTGTGAAACAGGGAAAATGAATGTTCTTTCAATCGTTACACGAGAGACAAAACAAGGGTTATATAGCTGACAGCTTGATTCCAGTGGAATCTTGAATTATGATGTCCTAGATCACACTTGCTGAAATGCTTTTTCAGCAATACCTCACTATTTCCTGCCTGTGATTCAAGGGAAACTTCTTTTTGATCATTTTCCTTCAGCCCGCAATTAGATCTTAGCTTCTTCTTTGGGAATACATCTTTTGAAGTCCTTGTTGTCTGTAGCCCGACTTCAGTTACGGCATCTGAAACTTCAGCGCCTCCACTCTTATTTTCGTTTTCTGTTGCTTCACCAGACAGCTTAGGGTTGGAATCACTGCACTGTTGGTGTTTTGTCCATTTGACATATAAAAGAATCACCAGTAAGCTCCAAGGTTTTGAGAACAGAAGGTACACCATAGGAAATCTGTTGGCAAAATCAAGCACCAACTCACCTTTCTGGATCTCAATGCCAGGTACCTTGCGTTCTTGAACCATTTGCTGACCTGGAATTGCAACTCCAAGCGGTGAAAATCAGTAGGGGGGAAGGAGTAAATAACAGTAAGAACTATTTAGTCCACTCAGTTGGGTATCACCATCAACGCCAATCCCATACATAACTTCAATGCATTGGTTTGTTCATACCTTTCCAGGTTCAAGACCTAGCTCTTCTGAAAGCTTATGTTTAACTGTTCCACAGGGAAGTTCATTTTCCTCAAAAACCCGCCTTAATTTCTGACAGAGAGTGCAAAATGTTGACATGACATTTCAGCAAAACTAAGAATCAGAACCGGGGAAAAAGACAACAAGGGACGGAATGTTGGTACCTCAACTGCACTAGGTGGAATTCTCGATAGTGCCCTTCGAACTCGAGATTCTTTAGGAAGGTCCTTTTTTCCTTCCAAAGTCTCATCCTTTTTTGCTTGTTTTTTACGTTTGTAGAGAGTCATAAGCGTGCTTGCAGCATCTGACTCCTTTTCCTTCTTTTTCCTCTTGCTAGGACCCCAGTCTTCATCTTCACTGAGTTGGTCAGCTACATGAGCATCTTTTCCAAACATTTCCTAATGCAAGCAGAAGTCCAAATGAATATGTTAGCAGGTAGAAAGTTTCAAGCCTTCTGGACTTTGTGGATATCCCGCTATTATATCTAAGGCAAAAGGATCTACCCGAATCTTTAAGATTTATAATACTCACGTCATACAATTTCCGATAATCAACTGCTCTGCGCTTTCTGCGGCCGCTCATGATTTCAACATCACTAGATTCATCAGAATCTAAGCTACTATATATTGACTGGTTTCTGAATTCTTTTCCCTCCATATCCCATCTTCTGGATCCAGAAACAGCTTCATCATCTGAAGACCAACCCAAGCTAGTGGAGCTGCTAGCAATATCCGACTCATCCGTTCCTGCACCATTCATGCTATTTTCCCTCCTTTCTGGATCATAATTTTCATCCTCAGAGTCATCCGAGGGCCATTCCTCTTCAAGAATTAAAATGTTCCCACCATCAGGAGCTGCTGCCTCTTCCTCGAAAAGATCCTACTTCAGCAAAAAAAAAAAAACCCATATTTTAGTTAGAAAATACCCAAAGAAAGATATTTTATGGTCCTTCTGTCCACTCAAACAACCTGCCATTCGCAACTCGTTGAGTATTGGGTTCCAAGGTGTGCATTCATTGAGTCTATGATTTCCATTCTACATTCGCAGAACTTGCAGAACCATCCTTGGTCTCCAGGGGGTACTGCAAGAACTCGATAGAGCAAAAGCATTAGGAAGAAGCTCACTCCTTTTCTTTTTATCCAAATTCAAATCACAGTATACGACAATGGATAGATTACTGTTTTCGGTGTGAAGTGGAGGTTCAAGGCACATTTGATGGAAGGCACAATTGCATGTCCCATCACAGAGTATAATGTCGTTATCCGGGACCACGTCATTTGATTTGCACTTTGCACAGAAGATCTGAGCATGATAAGTTTTGAAAACATGAGTGCACAAAACTTATGATACTCCTGGCCATGAACAGAAATATACCATTTGTGATACTGATTATGCATGCTTACATGTTCATGGGATACTGATCCATCTGGGGCCATAACTGAGTCTTCAATACATCCAACTGCACTAAGCAAATCAAGTTGGTGGATTGCATCCCGTATTCCAAGTTTGCACTTCAAAATCTGTTTTTTTGCTCTTAGTAGTTCCTTCTCTGGCCTGATCTTCTCTCGACTGCAGCAGAATTTCTAGTGTAAGAGTTAAGCGCACATAAGTTTCCCTTCAGCAGGCCCTTCTTTCAGTTGCATATTCCAAAAACAAGCATACCCAACTTTGATTCTCTCGGGTATGTTTCAGGGAGTCAGAACTCAACTCGAAATATTTAAGGCAGATACATTGGTGAAGCTCATATAAAAAGAGGAAGTGCCTTAGGAAATGTCTGCTGTTTCTTTCCTTTAATCATTTCCCAATTAATACCCTAAGTTGGTGTAACAAAGATTACAGTGTCAATGGCATCTGAATCAAACCTAAGTTGGTCTGGTTAGTGTTGATCTATTAAAGAACTTCATCTGAGAAAAGTAGCTTCTTCACAAACTTAAGAAGCTTAATCAGACATACGAATCTTTCAAAACCCATTTTATATACATATTCAGAGAAATTCACTAAAGCAGATTAATATCTCATAGAAACACTTTGATCTTTTAGTTATTAGTTATAGTTTCTCAAAATCAACAGGAATGTGAGAGAAAATATCTTACCTTTGGCCTTTCCATCCTTCACCAGAGTAAGCATCTATAAGGTTCTGCTCCATCTTCATTTTAATCATCAAGTATCTTGTTCTCCTCTGCAACCGTGATGGTTCATCTAGCTCTACATTATTCCTTAGCCTTCCATCTATCCTTCTCCTTTTGAATTTTCTCTTGGCAGTCTCCTTCTTAGGATTCTTGTCATTCAACTCAGGACAGATAGCAGTAGACGGTTCTGACTTCTTCCCGGACCTTTTATGAAGTGGTTTGCGTGCACTTTTACCCCGAACCAATTTTCTAGACCTAACACCTTTCCTAGTCACCTTACTTGGAGGACGAGTAACTTTCTTTGATATTTGTTTCTTACTGAGGGCCACCCTGCTACCACGTCTTGACTTTAATGATGCAATTAACAAGGATCCAAATTCTGACTTGGAGAGAGTAGGTTTCTTAGATGCCTGGTCTGCTACTTTCTTCGCGATGCTATGCATATCAATATCTCAGATTTTAGAGCTGAAAAGAGTAGGACAAATATGTAAGCATAAAGAAGCATATAACAAGATGCAAACTTTGCAGCTGAGCTTCATCCTAGCAAAGCAAATCTATAGCCTCTCCATACATTAGCAAATGCGTTGATAAAAAGGAACCCAATTCTTGAAACTATAAGCACAACTTAGCAATTACTTAGAGATAACACATAAGACCGAGATCATGACAATTGGTAATTGATCCCTATAGAAACAGTATAAAATAATGAAACGAAATATCACATTGCAGCGCTGCAAACTTTAGTAAGATCAATTGGACCAGCGGTGGAGGAGTTGAACGGAGAGAAACCGAAAATGAGCAGCCACATTACATCTGAAGAAACTAAAGTATATATGCGAGGAAGAAGAGAAGGTACCCTGTAAAACTGAAGAATTTGGAGGCAAGATCGATAATTGAAAGGGCTTGCAGCTGTTGTAAGAGAAAAGGAAGCGAAGAGCGAAGAGAAGGGTTATTGATCTGAAAGACCGAGAGGAAAAAGGCTCGAACTTTAGAATTTGAAATTCTGGGGTTTGTGAGTTGAAGGAAGAAGACGGATTTGACCTGCTGATGGGGGGCTTTCGCACAACAGGAGATGATTGATTGGATGCAGGAATTAGACGATGGGCGATGGTTCTGTCTGCTGCTGCGCTTCTGCTTCCTTCCTTTCCTTTCTGCTTCTTTTCTTTTTCTTTCTCGATTAGTTCTCCTCGGTCCTCGCCCAATCCCAATGCTCTCCCTTTTTTTTTATATTTTTTTTTGCCAAAGCTCTCCCTATCTTGCATAGATATAAGGGCAATGTCTATTTTTTACCCAAACCTTTTTCAGATTCTTTTATTTTAACCAAACCTATAGAAATTCTATTTATTATCCAAACGTATTATAATTTATCAAAATCTGGGCATTCATTCTATTACCGTTACTTATTTCGTCCACGTGAGAGGTGGGATTTTGTTTTGTTTTTTGATAATCTTTTTATTAAAAATAGTAAATGATGGTATTCTGACCGCCACGTAGAAAGTCAACTCATTATGGTCATACTTAGTCAGCATTACTAACAGAAAAGTTGACAGAGAGTTAACGTTTGAATAATTTTGAGGAATTCAATAGGTTTGGTTAAAATAAAAGAATTTGAAAAAGGTTTGGGTAAAAAATAGACATTGCCCTAGATATAAAGCTTAGACCCCTGCCCAAAGGGCAGGTAGTTTATTTTACAGCATAATTTATTTTTATTTTTTTTATCGCTTCTTTGTTTTTTTTTTTGTCATAGATAGTTTGTAATAGATAGTTCGTTACAATGCAGTGGAAATATAAATGCGGTAGTCAACCAACTGGGTCGCTACCGATGCAAGGGCCGTTTGTGCCACGCGATGGGCAGCCCTGTTAGTACTACGAGGAGAAAAACAAAACAAACAAAAGCAAAAGAGGCCTTCAAGACTCGCACTTCTTCTAGCACTGCTCCACCTCGATCATGCTCCACAAGCTATGCGAACCAATCTGTCACAAGCTAGGAAAACAAATATACCAAACCCAACCAGTGGAGGAAATACACTTTATGTACGACAAGTAATTCCTCACCAGAGTAAAAAACAATACAACCCCATAAAAAATACCAAAAACAAGGGGATAATAATAACAACAACAACAATAATAATAATGATAATAATATATAGCTAAGTAAGAAATTATAACCGTCCACTTAGCTTAACGCAGGGTAGGATTGGACTTGTAACCGCTTTCCGTCAGAATTGTAACCGTCCACAACCCACTAGCCTCGCCGTTCGCCGGTAAGGCTCGCTGCCGGAAGGTTCAGCCCACAACTCCGTTGAAACACTTGCAAAAATAGGCAAAAGCCACTGGAAAGGGTGTCAGGGATGGGGAAACGCCATGAGCAGGGATGCACGAGGGCATTGGGTAGCAATTTGCCAGAGCGCACGATTGCGGAATTAGGGAGGAAATGGACTCCGTCGAAATCGAGTCATCGATTCTAACTCGTGAGATTGAAGATCAGCGTAACGAGATTTAGGATGAATGGTAGGAGATTGGCGCTGGAGATCCAACTGCAATCACTGTCCTCGATCTTCCGGATGATCTTCTTGGGGCCTCTGGGGCCGTTCCGCCAGAGAGGGGTAGAGGTGGTGTCGCAGTTGGCGCAGCGGCGGGAAACCAAAGGGTCGCCGTTGTTGCTCTACTTCCACGAGAGGATCTTGGGGAAGCTGATCGGCGACCCCACCTTCGCGCTGCCGATTTGGAACTGGGACGGCGCCGCAGCCGGGATGCGACTCCCGGCCATGTACGTCGACCGGACCTCCCCGCTCCACGACCCGCTCCGCAACCCGAACCCCGCTCCGGAAATATCCCGCCATTGAAGTCCGCGGTTATCGCTACTGCAATTCTGAAGAAAGCTCTCACTTCTTCTTCCTCCGGTTTCTGCCGCCACAACCGCCGAGCTCCGCTCTTTTATCGCTTCTTTGTTTTTTGTGAATTTTTTTTTATCACTTCTGAAAGTACATTAATTAAATTTTGATTTCACTACAATTACTTTGTGACTGAGAAAGCAAGAATACATGAGTTCTATCAAACAAAAATTTATTTTTTTGGTAGAGTGGCGAATTCAGGATTTAGACTAAAAAAGGCCGGCAAATAACAATATACAACATGTTTCTAAAGTTGAGCCTACAAGGGACTGAGCCGGCGAAGACGGAAATTCATAACCCAGAAAAGAGAAAGAAGGGAAAGTAAGAGAGAGAAAAGCTCTGACCTCTCTCTTCCACTTTTCTCAGATTGTTACAGTTTCTTCCCGTTTTTTCAATGGAGCCTCCATCGGAGGCACTTTTGCCGGATCCAAAATCGCCAGATTCATCTCCAGCAACGACGCCAACACAGCCGAGCAAGAAGGCGAAGGCAACCTCGATCACTAACTTCTTAGGACTGGTAGATATGGAGGTTGCGATGGTTACTGCAAGAGAGGAAGATGTCGATACAGAAATGGAGATGTCAGAGAAAAATCAAATGTTCGGGAGCTCTCCCAACGAGGGGAACGAAGGAAATCAACCAGGAAGGGCCTCCTATATGACTCCGTCCTCGAAAATGAACCGATGCCGATTATCCCAGATGGGGACGACCTCATGTCGGACGAATCACATTGTGAGGAAGCAGAAGACGATCCGCTCTGCCCAACCATCTGCATCAAAAAGAGTACATATGCAAGTAGGGGTGGTAGTTCGGTTATCGATTACCGGTTAACCGAAATACCTACTCCCCCTACCGAAACCGCCCGAAATAGGCTTCAGTTTTTCAGTTATCTCGATTATCGGTTAACCAAATCACTTTTAAGACCAAAAACTATTTCGTCCAGCCTCCGATAACCGACCGAAGTTCGGTTACTTCGATTATCGGTTAGTGGATAACCGCCTGGTTATCGGTTTAACCTGTCAGTTAACTGATAACCGGTAACCGAACTGTCACCCCTAGTTGCAAGGGTGCGCCATCGTTGGAGCAAAACCATCACTTTCAGAATCCTTGGTAAGAGCCTCCCGTTTGCTTTCATTCATAGGAGAGTGCATTCGATGTGGGCAAAAACAGGATCAGTGAAGATAGGAGATATAGGGAATGGTTATTATCAGGTCATTTTTGGATCACAGCGGGATTACAACCGTGCCTTGTATGGAGGTCCATGGACGGTGGATGATCAGTATATTGCTTCTGAGCCTTGGAGACTGGACTTTGATCCAGACTATGATGTAATCAACAAAACCATGGTGTGGGTTCGTCTCCCACGTCTCCCAATGGCGTATTTCGATGATGAGATTCTGGAAAGCATTGGAAGCAGACTAGGGAGGGTGGTAAAAATTGATTACAATACAGTCAACGGGTTTAGAGGAAACTAGGCCAGAATCTGCATTGAAATCGACCTAAGGAAGCGGTTGGTCCCGAAATATAGACTAAAGAGAAGAGTGAGAAGGGTGGAGTATGAAGGTCTTGACAAGTGTGCTATGAATGCGGCCACTACGGACACTTGGAGGATATATGCCCCAAGTTGGCATCGATGGCGAATGCCACACCAGAACAAAAGATAGTCGATGAAGGAACGCAGATGGTGAGCCAGGAGATACGTCCGGAAGTCCTGGAAGACTTTGGCCCGTGGATGATTGCAACTAGACCAAAGAGAAAGAAGAATCCACAAAAAGGAGTTGATAAAAAAAGAGCTGCAGGGAAAAGGACATCCAAAAAGAGAAGAACAAGTGGGAGGATCTAGATTTATCGCACTTAATACTAATGTGGAGGACAATATGGGGAAAGAGAATGCTAGCACAGAGAAAAAGAGGTAGAAAGTCCAACAACCACATCAGGTGAAATCGAAGAAAATGCATCAATCAAAGGATTCTTTAAGGAAAGAAAACCAAAAAACCTCACCTGTGATCTCGAAAGCGGATACAAAGTCCTGTAGTGATGCTAAGACTGGTGGGGACTCTAAACCAAGCCCAGTTGGAGCAGGGAGAGGGAAAGTAGTGGTAAAGGAGGAAAAACGAAAAACTCAAAGGGGGTAGCAAAACTCCTTTGAGTCTAAAACAGAAAACTAGTGACAGCAGAAAGCAAGAAGGAGAGAAGGAGCAGAATGTGGATGGAACGACAGGACACCAACCTAAAATGGAGGATCCCTCACCAAAAAGAGAGAAGGTGTCCAAAAAGAAGAAATCATCACCCCCAGATAGTGGGAGCAGTCAACCCCAAAAGCTGGACTTTGTCCATGTTGCTGGGAAGGAAACTGCAACAATGTAGCCTTGAACCAACAAGATAGTGCAAAAAACCTGAAGGGCAAGGAAGAGACGGCTATGGTTGTCGACTCCACTGGAAAGTAAGCTGCAAAGCTTGGTGAAGGGAAGTTTTTCTATATCTTATGATTAGATTTTTTCCTGGAACTGTCGAGGTGCAAAACACCTGAAATTTCGCTCTACCATGGATTTTTATATGAAAACTTATGCACCAAACATTGTTTTCATTTTGGAACCTAGAGTCAGTGGCGATGAAGCTGAGAAAGTGATGAAATCCCTGGTTTTGATTCATGGAAGGTCTCGGATGCCATTGGTTTTAGTGGAGGAATATGGGTACTTTGGAATAAGGACGAATTGGATCTTCAGCAAGTGGATTGTCACAAGCAATTCATCAACCTGAAGTGTTCAATTGAGAGCAAGCTTGTCTGCCAAATCACGGTAGTGTATGCTAGACCAAATGAACACAACCGCGGTGTGCTCTTGGACGAAATTGGCAGAATCCGAAGAGGAACCACAGTTCCCTGGGTTTTGATTGGATATTTCAACTCCATTTCAAAATTAACGGACAAAGTGGGTGGTGCCCCCTTCAACTTTGCAAAAGGCCAGGGCTTTTAATAAATGCTTGGATGATAATGAACTAGTGGATTTGGGGTTCCTTGGCCCTAAATTTACCTGGTTCACTAGAGGGTCTAGGCTCAAAGAACTCCTGGACAAGTGTATTTGCAACTCTGAATGGCTGAAAAAGTTTCCGAAGTCAACCAATTTGCACTTGACAAAACTTAAGTCAGACCATAGGCCAATACTGTTGAGCAATGAAGGCCCAGTGGACAATAGTAAATTGGTGAGGAGATTCCTTTTTCTTGCACCCTGGATTACTCATGATTATTTTTTCCGTTCCTTAACAAAGCTTGGACCTCTGGTAATGCACTTCCC